TCAAAAATTTCTTTTTCCTTGCACTCATGCATAATTTATATGCAATAATCTCCTTTTTCTTTTTTCTCTTCTAATTCATTTTGTATTCACTTATTCTAATGCACTGTTGTTACACTATTATATTTTCGACATATTTGAAAAAAAATTATTTTGTCAGTGTTAATATGTCCCTGAACCAAATTCCTAGCTCCGCCCTAGATAATGTTTTTTTGGTTAAATGGTAAGCTTTCCGCCCTAGATAATGTTCCTAGCTAGTCATAACTCATAACTTGATCCTAAAGACCACTGCCACTTTGTCCCAAGAGGGCGATGTGTTTTAAGTTTTTTTTTTTATTTGGGTTTGATTAATATAGCGGAAACTCAATTAGGTGGTATATGAATAATTCTCAAATTGTAACTTACGCCGCATGTCGTTGGTGTTTATATGTGTTGTTACTTCTTAATTATAGTTAATATTTTTTAAATTCTACACAAGTTAGACATAACATGACAAATAGTAGTAAAATTAAATTCTTGAGAAAGAACGTGACAAATAGTAACAAAGCCAAATCACTGGAAAAAGAAAGAATGTGCCCAAATCATTAGACTCAGTCCAACAAGATGCAACCTGGTTAAACATATCACTAATATGCTAAAAGCGTTCTTCTGGCGTGCTAAGCATGCATGCTTTGAAAGCGGTGTCTTGTATTTATTTGAGATTTTCTCTTTTTAAAAAGGGTTGAATCATTTTCCACTTTGAACAAAAACAAAACTAGAGATGCCACTTGTTGAAAAAAAAAAAAAAAGGGATGTAGATAACCTTTTTAAAAAAAAAATTAGCTACAACAAAAAACTTAACAGGTGTTATTATACTCAATAACTCATTTAAACCTTATGGTTCTTTTAGATTTTTAATATTTCAAAATATTTCAATTCAGTTTCTTTTAATTTTAATTTTAGAATCAAATAGTAATTGATGTTTAGGTTAAATATTGTTGAACTCAATAATCTGGTGTAAGTTGCGGTATTGGTTGCGGTTGCGGTTGCGGTTGCGGTGTAACGGAATCGGACCTATATCAGCGTTACACATCAGAATCGATTATTGTAATCATAAATTTTTTTCAAGCTCGCACACAGAAACCAAAAAGCACTGATACGCTAATTCTTACAACATAATTCAATAAAAATGGATTTTTAATAAATTTTGGTGAATTTTATTGATTTTTTTAAAAATTATTTAGCAAACGTAATGACTTGTACCTTTGTAATACAATCCACCATTCAAGTCCATTTGTGTGGCTACAAAGTATGCAGGTGGAAATCCATTCATATTTTTCGATGGTTCCTGGGCATGGCGTTAAGATGTATCCCCAAATATATATATATATATATATATATATATATATATATTTTCTTAGTTGGTACTCACACACAAATACGTTCACTTAGACTTGAACTCTTGATCTCTCTTTAGAAAATAAAAACCTGATACCGTCAGACTATTGGTCCATTAATATATATTTATATTTATGAATGGTTCTTCATTTGTTTCCATTATCTCAATCATTCCAACAACACGTGAAAAATCATATTATTATTACTCTTCCGATACTAAAAATTACTTCTTCCGTCTCAAAATAAATATCATGTTTTAAGAATCGTGGCTCACAAGAGACAAAAAAATAATAATAATAATAAAATAAATAAAATAATAAACCAAGACAACAATGCGTTTTTAGATTTAAACTAAATAATACAAGAATGATTGCCATCAATTTAATATTCTTATTTAGTCAACAAGTGTTAAATAATATTAATTTTGTTTTGATGATTTTTGTTCTACCGGTCACGGTGGCAGTATTGATTGCGGTCACGGTGTAACAGACTCGGATAAAGTCAGTGTAAACTGGTCGATACAAATCACATATCAGACTTAAAAAAGTATGCGCCGCGTGTCGGACGATACACATGGACCACCTAATGTTAATACAAGAATAGGAAAAAATAATTTATCTTAATACAAGAATAAGAACAAATAAGAGTTTGTTCATCTTAATAATGGGAACGAGTCTTATTTGTTTTTATTCTTGTATTAAGATAAGGTGCGTTCCATGCCAATATATACATATATATCACTCATCCACAATAATCACGTGGACAGGGGCGGAGACAGCATGTGCCCAAGGGGGCAGCTACCCCCTGCCCATACTGTCTTAATAGATTTTTTATTTATTTTTTATTCATAAATTTGTAAAAATTGATAAAATGCCTCCCCTAAAATTAATAAAATGACCCCTCTACCCCTAAATATACTAAATTTTATGCGTATAATTTGTAAATATTTATAAAATATCCCCATAAAATTTATAAATTATCCCCCATAAAAATATCTATTTATAAAAACGTCTCTAATTCTTTATTCATTTTCCTTCTTATTCTTCAAATTTCTTTTTGTTATATTCAAAAACTTTTGCGTTCTCTTTTTACAATTAAAACCTATTTTTTCCTTCAAAATTCTCTCATTTTATTTTATTTTATTTTCTTCTTAAAACATTCTCTTTTCTTTTTAAAAATTTCTTTTTTCTTGTACTTATGCATAATTTATTTGCAATAACCTTCTTTTTATTTTATCTCTTTTTTTCATTTTTTATTCACTTATTCTTGTACTATTATTACACTATTATATTTTCGGCATGTTTAAAAAAAAAATTATTTTCTCAGTGTTAACATGCCACCTGAGCCAAACATAAATTGATCCCAAAGGCAACCGCCACTTTGTCCTAAGAGGGCGATGTGTTTAAGTTTTTTTTTTACTTGGGTTTGGTTAATATAGCGAAAACACAATTAAGTGGTGTATGAGTAATTCTCAAATTGTAACTTACGCCGCATGTCGTTGGTGTTTATATGTGTCGTTACTTCTTAATCCTGTTTATATATATATATATATATATATATATATATATATTATAAATTCTACACAAGTTAGACATAGCGTGACAAATAATAGTAAAATTAAATCCTTGAGAAAGAACGTGACAAATAGTAACAAAGCCAAATCCCTGAAAAAGAAGGAACGTAGCCCAAATCATGAGACTCAGTCCAACAAGATGCAACTTGGTTTTTAACCAAAAAAAAGATGCAACTTGGTTAAACATATCACTAATATGCTAAAAGTGTTGTTCTGGCGTGCTAAGCATCACATGCTTTGAAAGCGGTGTCTTGTATTTATTTGAGATTTTTTTAAAAAAAAAATAGGGTTGAATCATTTTCCACTTTGACCAAAAAAAAAAACCGGGTGTAGAGAACCTTTTATTTTATTTTTTTTTTAAATTAGCTACAACAAAAAAACATAACAGGTGTTATTATACTCATGAACTCATTTAAATCCAATGGCTCTTTTAGATTTTTAATATTTCAAAATATTTCAATTCGGTTTCTTTTAATTTTAATTTTAGAATCAAATAGTAATTGATATTTAAAAATTATTAGAGGTTGAAATTTCCCAAATAGGCACAACTCTAAAATGCGTCGTTTTGGATAATGGAGCACTGAAATCTTATTTTTCTCCCCTCTAATTTTTTCGCGGTGAATTTCTCTCTCTTCTTGTAACTCGTCGGTGTTCATGGTGAAGGATCTTCAAAAAATTCCTAACTCCGTCACTACTCACATACTATTAAGTATTCATATTTAGTTATTAACGAATTTTGAGGTTGGTGAGTAAATGTTACTATATCCTTTTGGGAGATGGCAGGAATACTATTAAGTGGTGTTAACTAAATACAAGTTTACTTGAGGATATTATTGAAGGCTTTTCGTATTGTGATATAATTAAGTAGCTAGTTACAAGCATAAATCTTAGATATATATGATATTTAAACAAAACTGCAAACTACATGTTTATTTGATTTAATTTTTGAAAATAGTTTTTAAGAATTTAAGAAAAAGAAAACTATTTTGTTAAAATTAATATAAAAGACTGTTATTTGAAAATGAGTTTTTTCTTTTCTTTTCTTTTCTTTTTTTTTAACTGAGTTTTTTAAAAAGTATTTTAAGAAAAATGAAAACCAAACAAGTATCTTCTATATATACTCTTTTCTGATTTTCAAAATGTTTTTCAGAAAAAAAACTAAATTACACAAATGTTAATGCTTCATTGGTAGGAGGAATGGAAAAATGCGTGGAAGGAAGAGGGAGGGATGAGGAAGCCCTAGGGAAGGGCTGACGGTTGGATAAAAGGGTTAATAGAAAGGATAAACAATGTGGCACCTTGTTTGGTTTGGTTTGGTTGGAAGAAAGAGGAGGACAGTTATTTTTTATTTTTTTTTTTTAAAAAAAATGTAGATAATTGAACACTAAAATTGACATTTTACATTTTAAACTTATTTTTCTACTTAAAAAACGTGCATTATGAGAGATATGTTGCATCCCTTCTTGCTTTCAAACAAGGGGAATTTCTTTTATCCTCCTCTCTTCTACAGTTCTTCAATCCTTCTATCTAACCAAACACAGCATAAAGTGTATTTATTTTGTTTAGTTTTTAAAAAGTCAAAACAAAAAACAGTTTTGAAATAAATACCCTACAAAAAATTGTTCTATAAAATTAATTATAAAAATAACTTCTTAACTTATTTTTTCACTTTTACTGAAGTGAATCAAAGAGATCTCTCCACATTTTCATTTTCGTTATTTGTTCAAAAATTGAATATATGAGAAATTTATTTATTTTATGTGTTAAGTTTTGATTGGTCGAAATGGGCCATGAAAAAGTTTCTCGATAGATGCAATGGACAATTAATTAAGCTGCTATTTGTGGTCATATGGTCACACTCCACATTTGGACCACCATATTATCAATAGAGAAACTTGTGGAGTAAATCCTTCTTCCTTCAACAATTTCTCTCTATTTATACCCTACCATACCACCTTCACAACGCATCCCCCTCCCGCCTCGCTACCAACAGTACTAGCTACTTCTTGTTGCTAGCTCTTCACCAGCCACAGCCACATTAAACCTATATATCATGGCCGCAACAAATTTAATACATGAATTTCCTGATGAAGCAACATGGGAAAATTTACTAGGACGCAATGAATGGAAAGATTTGCTTAACCCCCTTCACATCGACCTGAGGAAACTCATCCTCCACTGCGGTGATTTGAGTGACGCCACTTATGACGCCTTCATTGGCGATGAAGATTCCAAATACCATGGCTCTAGCCGCTATGGCATGAAGTCATTCTTCAAAAAAGTATTCCTACCAGATTGTGCATCAAAATACCAGGTGGTGGCCTTCCTCTATACCACTCCAGTCGATGTTCCTCCCACTGAACGCGGCTTCAGCGTGGGCTCTAAACAGTTCTATCACACCAATTGGATGGGCTACATTGCTGTCAGCACCGATGAAGAAACTAAAACCAATGGCGGCAGGCGTGAAGTTTATGTGGTGTGGCGTGGAACCGGCCAAATGTCTGAACTCATGAAAGCTTTCAACGTCAATCTCGTGTCTGCCTTACCATTAATGACGCCACAGCCTGTAAATCTGATTCGGGGAAGCGATGCTAATCTTGATGGGGGAGCCAAGGTCATGGAGGGTTGGCTCAATATTTACACTTCCAACAACCCTCGTAGTGATTTCGTGAAGGTCAGCGCCCAAACTCAAGTCTTAACAAAGATCAAAGAATTGATGGAACAGTACAAGGATGAAAACATAAGCTTGATATTCACTGGACATAGCCTTGGTGGGGTACTTGCAGCTCTAAGCGCTTACAATGTTGTGGACACTGGTGCAGTTCCAAGTCATGTCCAGGTAGCGGCTTTTGTGTTCAATTGCCCAATGCTGGGCAACACAAAGCTGTGTGACAATATTAAGGGGTGGCAAAACCTGAGAATCTTACATGTGAAGAATGAAAAAGATCTCATACTAGGCTACCACAAAATCATATGCCCGTTATACGATTACGCACACCCAGGAATTGTGTTTGCGGTTGATACTTTCAAGTCTCCATACTTGAAATTTTCAATGAATCCATTAGACTTGCCTAGCTTGGCAGTCCTGTTGCATAGCTTGCCAGCCCTGTTACATGTAGGTGCAGGTTGGAATGGAAACGACAAAGAGTTTCAGCTGAATTTTGTGCAGAGGAGTTTGGCTCTTGTGAACAAGTACAGTGGTTTTCTCAAGGATGAAAATGGTATTCCAAAGTCATGGTTCGTTCAAGAGAATAAAAGGATGGTCCTTGTGGAAAATGGCGACTGGGTTGAGAAGCCGCCATTCCAGGAGGAGGTGGAGCACTTCTAATTAATTACCTAATTAATTACCCGCGCCATCCTACGTGCATTTGTATTATTATATTATGTGTGTCCATCCGTACGTGTTAATTTGCATGTTTATGCATGCATGTGTGTTTGCTTGCGTACATGTTTATTTATGTGTGTCTGTGTGTTTGCTTTGTCACATTACACGCAAGAATTAAACACTCACAGTGAGTACGTGGAGACTCAGTATTAATATATAGGGTAAAGTAAACTAACACTTCATGAGGTTTGTTAAAAAGGACACTCAGATGAAACTTAGTCAGTTTTGGAACAATGACACCCCCGATAATATTTGTAAGCCAAACAGAGCCTTAAAACATGTGAAAAGTCAACATTACCCTTCACTATTTTATTAATTTTAATTATAAAATATTAAAATAATTAAATGACTAAATTATCCTCAACATCCAATCAACCCTACAACTGCGTCAGCGACACACAAAACTCCATAACCACCGACACATAATCGCCCCCACCCCCACCCCCACCCCCAAACCACCGCCTTCCCATTCGCCTTCGAGCTCTCCAACGGAAGGGAAGGATCAAGCTTTTGGTCTATCACCGGTGGAAATATATGATGAACTTCTGGGTCTACAACGGACCAAGCCCAATCCTCCGTGCTGCCACAAATATCAAGCGCAATCAATCCCTATTTTCCCATTCATTTAAATACCCCATTTTTCTCTCGTGCAAAAACCTTACACACACATATATCACCACCACAAATCAGCCCCACTGCATATACCGCTGCCAGTTCATCAACATTATAAAATGAACCACAACACCGAAAATGGAAGACAGAATTGCCAAAAATGGACCGGCGAAGAGAGACCCAGGATCCAATTTCAATCTTACTCGCTAATAGATTTGTTGATGGCGACTTACAGTAGGATCAACGACATCGATGGCGAGAGACTCGCCTTCAAAATTGGCAAACTCGCCGCCGCCAGATCCATTTTCTGAGCATCCTCCGTACGAAACACCGGTGACGGACTCACCTCTCTAGCCAAAGCCGCTCGCTCTCCATTTCGTATTCCAAGCAGAATCCCTCTCCCCAATCGAATCTTCTCTCCAAGTCAAAAACGGCAAACTCGTCGCCTCCAGATCCATTTTTCGAGCATCGTCTGCGCTCTCGAACACCTCCATACCATGGGCATCATCTGCCATGACCTCAAACCAGAGAACAACAGCCCACCGCCGCTGCCCGTCGCCGCCGCGTGTGTGTGGATATATGTATGTATTGTATATATATGTGTGTATGTGTGTGTGTGTGTGTGTGTGTATCTATGTATTATATATATATATATATATAAATGGAAGGATGAAGGAAAGATAATATAGAGAGAGGAGAAGAAAGAAATTATTTAAGGTCAGAAAGGTAATTTTAACATTTAAATGGGTCAATATAAAAGTCAGAGGGCAAAAATGTCAATTCATTACCATTGGGGTGTCTTTGATACCTGTATGAAATTTGAGGGGGTGTCATTGTCCCAAAACAGGTTAAGTTTCATTTGTGTGTTCTTATGGCAAACCTTAAAGGGTGTTAGTGTACTTTACCCTAATATATAAAATAAGTGAGTGAAATTAAATAATAATTTCATATGTCTTATCCGTGCTGATTTATTTGTTTACTTATTTATTGTGCTGATTATTTATTTATTTATTTATATCTTATCCATTGTGCTGATTTAGTAAAAGAAATATAAGAACTAAAATATTAGAGCATCTCCAACACTGTATGTTAAAAGATCTTTTTGTGTAAAATATACATAATGTGTAAAAAAAAAAAAAAATTATTTGCAGAAATATATTAAGATACATTGTCACATCACTAATGTGTAAAATTGTTGTATATTTTGCACAACACTTTTACACAGCCACATCATTATATTTTCCATCTTCTTCCCTTTTTTCATTCCATTAACGAATCAACATATGTTAAGTAGATTTGTAAATGTTATGTGGGTCTTGGATATGACACTTGGTTGGATATGGCACTTGGTTGGTTGTTATTGGCAGATATATGTTTACACAAAAGGTATAAAATAATTATTGGAGATAAAAATAATTAGTTCAAAATTTTTGTGTAAATCGGATACAAAAAACAGTCACTGGAAATGCTCTTATTTAGTACAGAGTAATATTTTCATTGAAAAAAAAAAAAAAATTAGAGTTTGATTAAAGAGGAGAAATTTAACCTTTTATTCTAAGAAAATCAGAAGAGTTTGAAGAGTTATAAAAAAAAAATTAAAAATAAATTAAAAATAAAATTAAATAAAATTAACATTTTAGGGGTGTGGTTATGCTGTTCTTCAACCATTGATAAGCGCAACAATTCGGCTTGTTCAAAATAGAATTCTTACAAAAATTTAGAGTCATGCACAACTCTAAATATGGTAACTAATAATATTAATAATGACGACGACGACGAGAACAAGTGAGGAAAATATTAGACATAGTGTTAATAAATGATAAAACTAAAGAAAATAGAGTTGGAAAAGCTATATTTAGTATATATGGACCCGATGTGGCTCTATATTCAACTCTAAATTTTGGTGTGCAGAAATGAAACTGATTGCATTTGGCACTTCAACAGATTGCTCTTGCCTGTTTGCAGTGCGCTTAGGTCAACCACATGCGCAAATAGTTGGTATTGGTTTCTTAATCCTACACTTGGTTGCCTAGTGTTTCTTAATGGTTAGAAGTATCAGAAAAGTAAACTAAGTTTAAAAGATGTAAGGCGATGTTGGATAAATTGAAAATTAAGTACTAAAAATTTTAAGTTCAGAATTTTAAGTAATAAGTGATAATTAAAAAATAATTTTTTTATAAATCTTTTTGAATTTTTATCAAATCATGAATAAATATTTAATCTGTTCAAAATTAAATTAACAATACCTAAATGTGAAAAAGTGAAGAGATAAATTTGATGATTTATGCTTAAATCCACGCTGGAAATAAGTTTTCAAGGTAAGTTAAATAAGTTTTCAAGCCTTCAAGGTAAGTTAAAAAAAAGTCAAATTCACACGTGCAGATGTGAATGCATTGCGCTTGTCCCACATAAAAAAAAAAAAAAAAAAAAAAAATGAAGTGAAGAAGTTTGTATGGTGACTTTAAAGGAGCTTGTTTTGCGTACAATCCAAATAGGAAAATACAAGCATGAATACATCCAAAATTTTTATTTTTATTTTTATATTTACCAAAAAATAAAAATAAAAATAAAAAATACATCCAAATTTTTTAGTAAACTATTAAAGACTATTCATTTTAAATTAAAAAAATTAATTCAAGTAAAAAGATCTAACAATATAACAATAAGTTCCAGCCTGACGTTGCCATATTAAGGTCCTCTGACTTTAATATTACATTTAAATTATATTTTGTATTAATCCCGTTTGGATGGAAGCAACATGAATGATTATTAGACCAGTTATATTCATAAGATGTAGTAACAATACATCTATATTAGAAATGAGAATTCTACATTGAATGGTAGAAATAATTCATAATAATAATAATAATAATAAACATAAACATAAACGTGTGAGGGACATTAGCTATAGTGCTTATTCGGAGTTGGCTGCTCAGTCTCAATGTCCTCTACGCTTTTATCAATTATCACTTTTTATCGATCCCATAATAAGATTTCAATACTTGAACGCATATAATATATTACCGATATATCATTGTCATACGGAGCCTTGTCCTTCACCTTGTCCTTTCATTTGATTCCTTAAGGCTGTGTTTGGTACAAATGCGAGAGAAAAAAAAAGAAAAAAAAAAAAAAAAGAAAAGAAAAAGAAATAAATAAAAAGAAAAAAAAAAATCAACAACAACGTGATGACATTAGTTATTGAAGATGCAAGAATTGGCTTCTTCTTTCTCTCTCTCTCTCTAAAATTCTTTCAAAAAATTCTCCCCTCTTATCCACCTGTAATGGTCTATTTATAGACCATTACAATTATTACTGTTAATTGATTACATTGGGCCTATATTCAAAAGTTTTCTTCTTTCTGGACTTGATTTCCCAAGTGGCTTGATCTTCCTCGGTGGATCCTCCAGGTTCGGCCCATTCCAGGGTGCTTTGGCATGGTCCCTACTTCAATTGTTCGACCCGATCCCGTTTCAGCGAACTATATCCGGCCCATGCCACTTGCTGCATCCTCAGTTACGAGACAAAATAAAAGAAATGAGATGATTGTGTCAACTATTTATCATGTTTTGTTGACTAATAAAGAAAAATAAATAAAATGAAGGTAATTATTTTTGAAGAAAGAAAGAAAAGGAAAATATTTTAATAAATTTACCGTCATACCTTTTTTATTTTATTTTATTTTATTTTATAAATTTTAACAAATCTGGTGTTCATAAACTTTCATTAAAAATGTTGGTCTTTCTTTCACTTTCCTTTCATTTCCTTTCATTTTTTTTTTTTTAAGGATAACAAAACTAACTCATAAGTTTTAATGTATGATGTATCCCTCCAAATCCTTCTCTTTTGTTTTCCTTCCAGAGTTTTATACACAAATAATCATATCTCTTCTATATTTATCTAAAAAAAATTATGTTTCAAATAATTGTTTTTAAAAAAATTGAAGCAAATAGGCCCTTAAGTTCTTATTTTTATGGTGAAGAAAAAGAATCAAAAGTTTGTTTCACTTAAGTTTCCTACATTCTCAACAATCAATTGTATAATAAGTTATAGCAAAAAATATAGTGAGTAAAGTAGGATTTAATTTTGTTGAGTAAATTACTGTTAGGACGTATGCGGTAATTTTAGTTGAGGAATTAAGATTAATTTTGTCTTCTCAACAATTCCAAATGGTGTGAATATAAATAACTTTTTATTTTATGTTTACGGATACTTAAAATTTTAATTTAGGCTCTCATATTGAGCTCTCCTTATTAACTAATGAATTAAATAAATTATTAAATGATTGATTTAACTTTTTGTAAAATAAAAATTAAATAAATAAAAAACTG